ATAACACAAACCACTGCTGCTACCACCTTATCCAATTCACCCTTTCAGATCTGGAGACTGGGTTTATGTTAAGAATTTTTCAGGAGATCCTCTACAGGAGAAGTGGAGCGGACCGTGCCAGATATTATTGACCACCTTTACAGCAGTGAAGATGAAAGAACAACCTGCTTGGATACATTATTCAAGAATTAAGAAAGCACCAGAGCCAGAGAAGACATGGCGGATCGAACCTTCAGGACCCTTACGTATGAAATTGCGTTGGTCATAATTTGGACTCATACGATAACTGGCGCACAAGCTCGGGACCAGAATTTATACCTGAAATTAGTGCAGAATGTTACTAATGTTTTTAATCGTAGTGACTGTTGGCTGTGTGCACAGCTGCCTAAATCAGGAGAAAGCCTGAATCTCCCATTAATTGGAGTTCCAATTCCTAACACTGTCTCATGGACAAATTTGTGGGTGAAAAGTAGTAATCTGTATTTAAAAGAAAGTTTAAAATTTGGAATAGTTAATCCTAATGTAGATAATAAATATTATACCTGTGCACAAAGATGTATTACACCAGAAACCAGGGTAAGAAATTTTGCTTGTTTAAATGCCACAGATGTAGGTCACCATTCAAATTGCAATCATACTATTACTATAGATGGTATCGTAGTTCAATGGTGGCCCGTTCCAAAAGGGAAAGGATGGTATTGGCTATGTGGAAAAAATGCTTATAAGACTCTACCCCCCAACTGGAAGGGGGCATGCACCTTAGGTGCTGTAATACCCAATTTTACTATTATTGACAAGTACCCTTCTGGGACCTGGGTTAGAAGTTTTGCTAAACGGATTAAACGGGGGTTTAACGCTATTATTGAACGGCACACCGCATCTCATGGTTTTGTAAGAGGGCTAATTCCATCTTTGGGAGTAAATGAATTAGAGAAGGCAATTGTAAATATCTCTGCAACCACAGAGGAAATGGAAAGCAAAAATATTGATATAATCCAGGCAGAACAACAAGAGATAACCAGCCTGTCGAATAGCATTACAAAACCGAATGGCTCTAGACATGTTATTGGCATCACAAGGAGGGGTTTGTTTCATAATCAATGAAAGCTGTTGTTCCTATATAGACCCAAGCGGCGGAATTGAAACAGATCTGAAGGAAATTTGGAAACAAACTAAGATATTTCATGAAATGGCCATGGATGACACCTCCTGGGGTTTTGAAGAAATATGGAAAAAGTTCACTTCATGGTTACCCAATCTCTCCTGGTTGAGGCAACTAGTTGTAGGAATATTGGTGTTAATTGCTTTTATATTGATTACTTGTGGTATGATACAGTGTTCCCTCTGGTGTTGTAAACGGTCTATGATAAATTATGAAGAGTGGAAAAGGAATGAAATTAAGCACCAAGTAGAAACGGGAAACTATTTCAAAAAGACTTTTGATGGTAATTGTAATATACAGAAAAGAAAAGAGAGTTGCAAAAGAATTTGCAAAAGGATAGAAAAAGGGGGGAAGTTGAGACAAGGGGGGGCACGAAATTACAAAATGGTATATAGAAATCTTTAGAAGTAGCTTTAAGTAGTGTTAAGTTTGATGGCTTTGTAACAGTAGCAATGGAAAATTACTGAGGTGCAGGGTACATAGAGAAAAATATATAAAGAGAGTGCAGCTAGAGAACATACTGAGAATTCTCACAAGATAAATCGTTATAGTTGACATAGCTTTAAGAAAAAACAGCCTAGAAAAACAGGACACAGGGATAAGGGGTATCTGGGAACTGCAGGTGTCCAGGATGGGCTACAGTTGAACTAACAGATAAGTAGGAGGATGGGAGGATTATTATGTCTCTGGTGCTAACGAACCAATTAAACTGGTATGAGCATCTACTGCGCGTGCTTCAAAGGCTGCCAGAAGTGATGAAGATCGTTGGAAGAAGTAAACGACCCTCAGAGACCACCACCACAATTCTGTACGCATGCGGGGAACTCTCTGGAAAATGATGTAATCCATATGTAGCCTCATGAATATGTATGTATGCCCAGGGGCTATAAAAGGACGGCTTGTGGGGCAATTAGAGAGATACACGCTAGGTGGAGTTATCCCCCGTGTCTCCCGGCGCCGTAATAAAGAATACCTGCTTGTCAGCTTGAAAACTTTGTTGGCAAGTTTGTTCCTGGAGTTTTCTCCGAATCACTATCGTAGCCTGAATGAAGTCACACCACCGAGTGATGCCGTACCGGACATGGTAGAACTTCAGTATGAATTAGAGTCAAAGGCAGCCAAGTGGTATGCCACGATTGATATTGCCAATGCATTTTTCTCAATGCCTTTGGCAGCAGAGTGCAGGCCACAGTTTGCTTTTACTTGGAGGGGTGTCCAGTTCACTTGGAACCAACTGTCCCAGGGCTGGAAACATAGCCCTACCATTTGCCATGGACTCATCCAGACTTCACTGGAACAGGGGCAAGCTCCAGTACACCTGCAGTACATTTGCCATGCTTTAAGCCCAGCTGGTAACTCAGAACCACACAGAACTCCAGTGGGTTGAGATAAGAAAAGTTCAGTAACTAAAATATAATACAAAACTACTACTGCCACCCCCAATAATAATAATGATAAGGGGAATAACAAGAAGAGAGAATACAACCTCTCACCCCCCACCAACCAATACCCAGCCCAACCCAGCCCTTCCAGGTAACTCAGTTACATCCTGGGCATGACGTGCTGTGGTATGGAATACCTCTTTGGTCAGTTTGGGTCAGGTGTCCTCTCTCTGATTCCTCCCAGCTTCCCTCCTCCCTGGCAGAGCCTGAGGCTCACAAAGTCCTTAGCCAGACTAAACGTTACTGACCAGTAACTAAAACCATCAGTGTTATCAGCACTGTTCCCAGGCTGAAAGTCAAAAGCACAGCACTGCACCAGCTACTAAGGAGAAAAAATGACTGCTACTGCTGAACCCAGGACACAGCATTAAACATTTATGTAAAAAAGCTGAAGTACTCTCATTCCAGGCAACTTCCTGAAGAGACAGGAAACAGAAAGTTGGGGGAGGAAACAAAAGGTTACTGATTTTGTTTCAGTGAGGGTACAGGCTTTTGGGTGCACTGTAGCAGATTGGTCTTGCTATTTGTTTTGAGGTGGGGAAGGGGCAAAGAGGGGGAGGAGCAATTCTTTAGGAGTTCAATACTGTTAGGTTGTTCTTTCATACCAGAAAGACAAAACTGTATGTACACAACAGTAGCATGTACAGAAAGCTGACCTTAATCAATTGTGAACTACAGATCAAAACACTTTTTAAGTCACTGTTCTGCAACTTAAAGTTTTCTCTACATACTACATGTGGCAAGATTGAGCAGCAGCTTACTACTGAATCTCCAATACACAGCATTTGGGAATCCCTGTTTGTAAAACAGGCTCAAACTGTAAGGTCAAGGTCTACTTTGTACTCATTACCATTCTGAATCTTAAGTAAGCTATCAAAACCAAGTAAGCTAATGCAAAACCACAGCAATATGGTTTCACACAGGATCATGTTCTGCTAACAACCGTGTTCATATATTTCCATACATGAAATCAAGTAGAGTTAATTTATTGGTGCACCTTTCAATTATTTTGATCACTTAAGAGGAAATTACCATCTTTGTTCCAGTGGCACAATGTTAAATGCACTGTTTACAGTGGGAATTAAGAAAGTACCTGGTATGTAATTGCTCTGTGGTTCAATTCCAGCTGGAAAGTTAGTGTTTTCAGGAATGGAATGGGTGTAGTCATCCAGAGGTGGAAGTTCTGTTAGAATCTCAGTGTGCCGCGGCACTAGTACGGGAGGCAAGACTGGAAAAGCAAAATCAAAGCCTTAGTGAGTCCCTTAAAATACACACTTTGTGAGCTAAAATGAAAAAAAACAACCTAAAACTCCTAACAATTTCTTCAGATGTTTTGAAATTTTCCGAATCTCAATAGCGCTAATACTACAGTTGTATTGCTAGTTACTGGAAAAGATTCATGAGGTCTCTCCTGAGTAAAACTATTCCCACATTATCAAAGGTAAGTCACCTCTATTCTCCTTTTCAGTCCTGATTGTATTTAGCTAGCTGGAAACTGCTAGCAGTAATGAAATTGTTTATCAGAGGTATGCAAAACATTTGCAAAGATTTTTCACTAAATTTACTATTACAAACTTTCAGGGGATGGTATTCTCGAAACCTGCATCTCTAAGAACCTTGTACTTCTGGCAAGAAAAAGCATCATCTTTCCCTATTTTTCATTTAAAACACGCTGAACAAGTATGTACAGATGCTGCTAGCAGAAGCAGCCTTCCTACCTGGTGTCTCCACTCTCTGATAGTGATAAGGGTTTACACATACTTCATCCTTCTTAAGATTAAAAGCATATTCACAGTTTTCAATTGCTTTAAGTTCATGGTGGCTGTGAAGATCTGGCCAGCGCCACAAGCGACAGTAAATAACATGCGGTAATCCTTTACGATGAGATACCTGCAGACGGCCATCAAGGGATCTATAGGGCAAAAATGTTGAGAAGTATTTAGAAACCACATACTGTCTCTTAATCGCTCGAAGCAACAGTGTACACACAAGATGGGCAGTTGCTTTATTCACAGAATTCAGTAGGTTGACATTGCTAGTGACATTTATACTTTTGTTAAAAGACTTCAAATGTGATAAAAATGATGGTATTGAGTGGAGTCCTAAGTTATTTTTGAGGTGCTCAAATTATTGCCAATGAGTTCATTAAAAGCCACTTGCTTTACCTCCAACCAAGTATTTAGTATAATTTCATTCTGTATTTTTTTTATTAAATGCAGAAGACTGTTGATTAAATAAATAAATAAATAAATAGATCACACACTTAACAGTCCCTTCCAGTGCTAAACCTCAAGGCTTTGATGTGGCATGGATGCTTTATAGCTATATATATATAGGTGTAAGAATTCTTACAGGACTGCAAATAAGCCTATAAGCTGTTAGCTGCCCAAGTGATCCACATGACAGTACAACACAAAAAGCATGAAAGCACATCTTGTAAGGGCTATGCAGTTTATCTTCTTGACTTCATCTGCCTTGCTACCAGCTGAAAGCGTTTTGCTAGTTTTAAGACAGACTGCATATGCTTACACAAATGCAGGTGTTTATGATTGTTATGGGATGGGAGACAAATCTCAATACACAAATCAAGTAATGTGACATGAAAAAAATAAAGACCCTGTTTAGAATTTTCCCACCATTAACTACTGAAGAACTTGCAAACAATTCTTTAGTAGCTCATATCTGAGCCAAAGAGCAAGATTTAACTGAAAGCTTTTGACATACAAAGGTGTTTAAAGACTTTGCAAGATTAGGTCTAAAGAACTAAGTTTCATGACTTTGTTGATATAAATACCAAATCACATTAAAGCTTACATTCAACAAATCTTTCCATTCTTCCAATAGCACTGGTGTGAAAAAGGAATACTGAGGAATTAGTTTCATTGGTCAAAACATCAGCTGAAAACATAGGGATTTCTACACTAGCAAGCAAATATGTTCAAATGCTGTACCACAAGATGCTTAAGAAGCATTTTAGTCTATTTTACAACTAAATCATCCCATTACAGACCCTCCAAAGTGAATCCCTCCCACAAGATCTCTATGATGCGAGAGAGGGCAGAATATTCACCTGGTTTGTTCACAGAAGCTGTAAAGGCCTGCTGTATCCCACTGATCTATCGTGTTTGGTGTACTCAGTCCCCAAATTTCAGGGCAAGTGCTGTGCATAAATTGAAAACAAAAAAAACTGATATGAATATGGAACATGGTTATTCAAAACACCATGATGTCAAACATGGAAAAATGTACAGAACACTTCCTTTCACATAGAAGACAGAGCATTGTTAGGCTTGCATTTAAGCTGACATCTCATGCTATATTTTCTACATGAAGGAAATGGAACATGTGATTCAAGGTAAATGATAATACTTTTAAAAGATGAACAAGTTATTTGGTTTAAAAGTAGTTGATACAGTTGTAATGTTCCTTAAAACAGGCAAAACTTCCTCAGCCTAACTCTTAACAAAATTCAATTTTAAAGGGTAGTTTTGTTTTTTGTTGTTTGGGTGTGCTTTGTTTTTTTTAAATAAGCTTCCCTAGATCTTCAAATAAAGGCCATGTATATCTGAAATTGAACATCATAATCTAACTTCCACGTACCACCAACTTAAGCATTAATCTCATTCTCTGCACACATACTAACTTGCTGCTCTTCCCAAAACAGAAAAATTTGGACTCCGAAGAAAAACCACATTGTAGCTGATACTTCTATTTTCTGTACTCCTCTTGATTAAAGAACTAAATATTCTTTTCCACAGTATACAAAACATATAATGTTTAACACTGTTCTACAGCACAGTGTTTTGAGACTTAACTATAGAATAATAATACTTCAGTTCCTAAATAAACTCAGAGGGAAGGACAACCAATTCTTTTCCAAACTGTTTGAATGACAAGATCACAGCAGGAAAGACAAAGGAGCCTTCAGCCATAGACACAAACTAAAATCAACAGGAGATTTAAGCAAAACAAGAAATCAATACGGACTTATAAATGGGCAGCAGACTTTGAGAAGCATAAATCAAGCTCATAAATTTGCTCTGTGACCACTAAAAATTGATAGTTTATTTTAAGTAACACACAACTAGACTTTGCACCTCAGAAAGAATTTGGTTCACAAGTAACTTATGTCTGTACTTTGTAATTACAATGCCTGAAGTTGGGCTGGCTGCTACATTACCTTTAAAATTAATACCCTCTGAAAAGCTGCAACAGAAAGAATCCAAGTTTGAAAAACTCCTGGTTTTAAATATAGGTGTTGTGATTTAAATTTCAACTACTAAACTTTGTTGATATGCACACAAATTTGTATTGAGTGCTTAAGGGAAAAGACATGAAGTAGGTCTTATTTCACCTCCCTACACAGGGGAAATGCCTTAGTGCTATGAAAGAAAAGACCAGACAGCACAGCACTGTACTTAAAACCACATTCAGAGCTGACAACCACCTCAATTCCACAGTGACTTTAATGAAACATAAGTGTGGGCCACTAAAGGGAACAAATGGTTATTGTCCCCTTCTTGCCTGTCCCACATGCCTCATTTCCTATGCCATCTGTGTCAGTGACAATAGATAATGGTTCATGGTGAAACACAAAAAATAGAAAAGTACTGTTTGGCACGGGTTGTGGAAGCATAACCTTGAAAATAGGGGAGTTAACACTGCTGTTATCAAAAGAGAATCTTATACCAGTTGCAAGACAGATGCTGTACGTCTATGATGGTAACTCTGTGTCCTGGGTTTAGCACTGGCGGTCATTTTTCTCCTTCTTGGTAGCTGGTGCAGTGCTGTGTTTTGACTTTCGGGCTGGGAACAAAGCTGATAAAAATGATGTTTTGGTTTGGCCAAGGACTTTGTGAGCCTCATGCTCTGCCAGGGAGGAGGGGAAGCCGGGAGGAAGCAGAGACAGGACACCTGACCCAAACTGACCAAAGAGGTATTCCATACCACAGCACGTCATGCCCAGGGGGGAACTGGGAGTGACCCAGAAGGACAGGGGGTCTGCCGGGTCAGACTCGTTGTTCGGTGGGTGGTATTGTACTCTTTTCCCTTGCTATTATCTCTTATCATTGTTGTTAGTGGTGGTAGCGGTGGTGATTTGTATTGTACATTGGTTACTAGACTGTTCTTATCTCAGCCCGTGGGAGTTGCATTCTTTCGATTCTCCTCCCCATCCCTCTGGGAGCAGGGAAGAGGTGGCAGCCCCGGGGGGGGGGGGTGTGTGTGTGTGAATGTGGGCCTCGATTGCTTCCAGCCTGGCACCACTCACTGGGAGTGAGTGCACGAGCTGTCTGGCTGGGGTTAAACCACAACAAATGTAAAGAAGCTCTTCCTCATGTTGAGGTGAAACATCTTGTGCTTCAGTTTATGGCCACTGCTCCTTGTCCTGTCACTGGGCACCACTAGAAAGAGCCTGGCACCATCCTCTTAGCACCTACCTTTGAGATATTTATATGCATTAATCAGATCCCCTCTCAGTCTGCTCTTCTCTGGACTAAACAGGCCCAGCTCCCGCAATCTCTCCTCATAAGAGAGATGCTCCAGAGCCCTGATAATTTTTGCAGTCCTCCACTGGAAACTCTCCAGTAGCTCCTTGTCTCTCTTGTACTGAGGAGCCCAGAACTGGACACAGTACTCCAGATGTGGCCTCACCAGGGTTGAGTAAAGGGGGAGGATCACCTCCCTCAACCTGCTGGCCACACTCCTCCCAATGCACCCCAGGATACAACTGGCCTTCCTGGCTGCAAATGCACACTGCTGGCTCATTCACCTTATTTACCAGTACTCCCAGGTCCTTGTCAGCTGAACTGCTGTCTAGTAAGTCACCCCTCAACCCGTACTGGTAATTGGGGTTCTTCCTCACCAAGTGGAGTACCCTAATACTAGCCCTTCTTGAACCTCATCAGGTTTCTCTCTTCCCAGTTCTACAGCCTATCAAGGTACTGCTGAATGGGAACACAGCCTTCAGGTGGATCAGCCACTGCCCCCAGCTTCATATCATCAGCAAATGTGCTGAAGGTGCACTCTAGCCCTTCATCCAGGTCACTGATAAACAAGTTCAATAAGACTGTAACCAGTACTGATCCCTGGGGAACACCACTGACTACAGGCCTCCAACTGGATGCTACTCCACTTATCACAGCCCTCCAAACTCTTCCATTCAGCCAGTTTTTGATTTATCTCACTGTCCATTCACCTAACCCACATTTCCTTAGCTTACCTATGAGGATGATAAGGCAGACATTGCCAAAAGCCTTGCTGAATAAAGGCAGATAACATCCATTGCTCTCCCCGCTTTGACTCATCTTGCCATATTATCATAGGAGACTATTAGATTGGTCAATGAGACAAGGGGGCACAAAGTCACAAAATAGAATATAGAAACCTGGCAAATTAGTTTTAAGTAACTGTCCTGGGTTCAGCAGTGGCAGCCATTTTTTCTCCTTCTTGGGAGCTGGTGCAGTGCTGTGTTTTAACTTTCGGGCTGAGAACAAAGTTGATAAAAATGATGTTTTGGTTTGGCCAGGGACTTTGTGAGCCTCATGCTCTGCCAGGGAGGAGGGGAAGCCGGGAGGAGGAAGAGACAGGACACCTGACCCAAACTGACCAAGGAGGTATTCCATACCACAGCACGTCATGCCCAGGGGGGAACTGGGAGTGGCCGGAAGGACGGGGGGTCTGTCGGGTCAGACTCGTGGTTTGGTGTGGGGTATTGTACTCCTTTCCCTTGCTATTTTCTCTTATCATTGTTGTCGTTGGTGGTAGCGGTGGTGATTTGTATTGTACATTAGTTGCTAGACTGTTCTTATCTCAGCCCATGGGAGTTGCATTCTTTCGATTCTCCTCCCCATCCCTCTGGAAGTGGGGAAGGGGGGGCAGCCCCTGGGGAAGGGGGTGGACTAATGTTGGCCTCGATTGCTTCCAGCCCGGCACCACTCACTGGGAGTAAGTGCGCAAGTTGTCTGGCTGGAGTTAAACCACGACAGTAATGTTAAGTTTGATGGCTTGGTAACAGTAGCAATGGAAAATTGCTGAGGTGCTGTCGTGGTTTAAACCCAGCCAGACAGCTTGTTACCCACTCCCCCCCCTTTCTTGCCCTCCCCCTACTCCTGGAGGGACGGAGAGGAGAATCAGAAAAAAATGCAACTCCCACGGGTTGAGATAAGAACAGTTTAGTAACTAAGGTATAACACAAATCACTAATGCTACCACCAATGATAGTAATGATAAAGGAAATAACAAGGGAAGAGAATACAACACCTCATCACCAGCCGACCGATAACTCGCCCCCTCAGCCCGACCAAGCACTGACCGATACCTCCTCCAACCCTCCAGTCCACCTAGCCCTTCCCAGTAACTCCCAGTTATCTCCTGGGCATGACGTGCTGTGGTATGGAATACCTCTTTGGTCAGTTTGGGTCAGGTGTCCTGTCTCTGCTTCCTCCTGGCTTCCCCTCCTCCCTGGCAGAGCAGGAGGCCCACAAAGTCCTTGGCCAAACCAAAACATCATTTTTATCAGCTATGTTCCCAGCCCAAAAGTCAAAACGCAGCACTGCAGCAGCTACCAAGAAAGAGAAAAATGACTGCTACTGCTAAACCCAGGACAGGTGCATGATACATAGAGGAAAAAAAAAAAAAAGAGTACAGCTAGAGAACGTACTGAGAATTCTCACAAGATAAATCATTATTGTTGACATAGCTTTAAGAAAAAACAGTCTAGAAGAACAGGACACAGGGATAAGGGGTATCTGGGAACTGCAGGTGTCCAGGATGGGCAACAGTTAAACTAACTGATAAGTAGGAGGATGGGAGGATTATTATGTCTCTGGTGCTAAGGAACCAATTAAACTGGTATGAGCATCTACTGCGTGTGCTTCAAAGGCTGCCAGAAGTGATGAAGATTGTTGGAAGAAGTAAACAACCCTCAGAGACCACCACCACAATTCTGTATACATGAGGGGAATGTGCAAGCGTGGTTAGCAGGCAAGGGTTACGTTCCCATGGCTGAACTTGGCCGGGGACCAGTTTTGTAAAAGTCAGTAAGAAACCCAGGTTGGTAAAACACCAGCTGTGCAAAAGGATAAACTGACCTTGTAGTTAACGAGTATCCTGAAGGGAGGAACAAGGATGTTAGAAAAAGGGATGTAACCACAGGAGTTT